TCCCCAACCCGACAGTATCGCCCATATACCCAGTAGCCTTATAGTACTGAGCCCGAAGGTTGTTGACGCCGAGATACAACGACACCTTTACACTGTGGATATACAGACCAAATACGTAGCACGTCTCATTTGGAGCAAGGTTCTTAAAGATAAGAAGACGGTACAGGCTACATTTCTACAGATGATGTCAACAAGTGATGTAGTGGGTCATGTCAAAGGTGGTTTCTTTGATGTAAGAGCACTTGGTAGTCGCCAGCATTCTTGCAAGAGTTGGTCATTCAATTTCTAAACTAGCTCGCTGCACACATCGTTTTCATGAACGAAGACAAGCCGCTCAACATTCCTTGTCGTGACCTAAAGTACCCTGCTGAAGGAACCTTGATTCCATGTGGGCTACAGTCTGTCGAGTTCAAAGACGCCGAGGATTTAAAAGGCCAATTAGCAGAAAAATCCAATTCTGCGTCTACTGGCATATATTGCAAACCCATGAGCCCCAGCTTCCCAACCATAGACAGCTTTATATATATCAGTGAAAGCAATTCGGTTATCATGCTTCTGATTACGGTGTCAGCAACTCACGCTGTCAATCCCTCTGGTCTTGATCTCATCTGTACAATAATCCAACAAGCATTCCAACCCTCACTCCCACAGACGTATATCCTAGTATTCGTTTGTCCAGGTCATGCCTACAACGGTACGATTATCAAGTCTGCACAAATTGTAAACGGAAGTGGATGGAAAAGGTGGGCTTCTATGAGGCAATATGTCTTGGAACTGCCCAAACTCGAAGTATTTGAGTAGTAAGTGAAGGGAAAGCCGTGAATATTTCTCTGGATGCTGTGGTGACGGTGTTTTTGCGTGTAGGAATGATGTACATGTCAATTTGCATGTAATATTATATTTTCAACCTATTCAATCAGTTATATGTTATACCATCGATGCTAGCGACTAGCGATACTCCACAATCCTTCTAGCAAGTGATTTGCAACTGTCACGCACCCGTTGAAAATGGTTTGACGTGCAAGTGTTTGGTGAGTGGTTAGTAATTGAATACAATTATTATATTATTTCTATTTGTTGGGATCTTGCGCCATTTGATTGCATTTTGCCTTGTCGAGTTATCAGCAATTTTCAGCAAAAACGCCAACAAACAAGGCTACGTAAAGAAGCGAGAGACCTAGTGTTATATAAGCAATCACAGCCTATTCTACAAAATGCCAGACGCACACGCTATAGCGGTATGCAATCTAATCGCTCTTACCTGTTTTTGCAACATCATTAACCAATCCATATACAATACATCATATATCTTATCTACTAGACATTTGCCAATCGAAACAATAAGAAAGAAGAAGAACAATGTATCATCCTTTGATGACGAACCCACCACATCAGCTACGTCTCAAGACATTCCATCCGCTGATATAAAACCAAAGAAGAAGAAGAAGAGCACTGCTACTGACGACACTCCAGCTGCTGAAGATGCTACACCTACCACCGCCGATGATGAGTTCGCGGGGCTTAAAGAAAAGTCAAAGAAACCGAAAGCGGATGCTGTAACTACTGCTGATGGTGAAGCTGTTGCGTGTGAGGCTGCAGCGGCTGCTGATGACTTTTCGGGGTTGAAGAAGAAGGTCAAGGTATGTATTGGTGTTGAAGGGTGGTTGCACTGATGAAAAAATAGGACACAGATACACACTATCTTTTACCACTAACAACCAACCATCCTCCCTCAACCTCACCAGTACTCTTTACACATAGGCCGAAGAAGCCACTGACCTCCAACCGACGCTACCCCAGCAGACGACTTTGACTTTGGAAAGAAAAAAGAAGAAGGAACGTCCTGATATCAGGGACTTTGAAAAACAGGAAGAAGAAGAAGCCCCTGATCATGGAGACGGTGGCGCGCATGCTGCCGATGACAACCAATGGTTTACGTTGCCGGTGATGCATCCGCTGATGTAGATGATGATGGCAGTGCGGAAGAAATACAAATCGGTGAAGCTCCTGCTGAGGATCGAGTATATTGAAGGATGTGCGCGAGACATGGCTGGTTTCTGATAGGGATAATTCGTATCATGAGGTGGGTGCTGCGTATTGATACGATTTATTCGGTGTTTTTTGGGGCTGTGGGTGAAGGCACAAAAAAGCCGCCAGCGTCATTGGACTTATTGCTCACCACGCAATTCTGTGTCACTCATATCATCGGTACTTCTGAATTATATGTCTGACGCTCACTCTCAATTAGCTACTATCACGAGTTTTTCGAATCATTCGACAAAACAATCCCTGAATTGGCTAGTGAAAAGAGATACACTATTGCAAGAGAAGGAACGACAAATGCTCCTTTCGCCAATGTCGCTGATGTTGCAAGGAGGTAACCATCAAGAAACTACATTTACTACCTTTTCTCTATATCTGTTGTCTTGGCGTTACCAACCATGACGAGAAGAAGGGGTGAAGAGTTTTTGTTGACGAAGAAATATCACGTGACCAGCGGTCTTGTTAATTATCGTCGAACTGCATGACAACATATCTTATATTCTGCCAGTGCTGACAGTATTTTTGCTTCGTTATAGGATGCGTCGCACTCCTGATCACCTTGTACAATATCTATTTGCTGAATTGGGTACAACTGGATCTGTCGATGGTCAAGAACGTTTGGTCATCAAGGGCAAATTCGTGCAAAAGCAGACTGAACCCGTCTTGACGAGATATATTGGTACGTGATCGTGCTTTAGCTTTGCGGTTGATAGTGTTTTTGGCTGGTTGGTTTTGTTGTTGAGGTGGATGTCATTGACGGCGACAGAAAGAGCGCAGTCGAATACGTAGTATGCAGGAATTGCAAGTCAGCCGACACGAATCTAAGTAAAGACAAGCGTCCCTTCCGTTTTGAAGTGTCAAGTATGTGGTTCTACTCGATGTGTTTCTGCCATTAAAACGAGGTTTGTCGCTCAAACCGGAAAGAGAGCTGGTCAAAGTGTCGGAATGATCATCAGATGGTGGCCGTGCGAGAATGGCAGTTGGATGTACTCATTCGTAATATATTTCGTTTTTTGCCAGCTAGATGCGAGTTTATTAAGTGTATGTTATTTATACGTGTGCTGATGAAGCTTTGGAAGAATACAATGCTATCATGCTGTTTATTAAGTGTATGTAATTCACACGTGTCCTGATGACGCTTTGGAAGCATGACAATACTAGCAGGCTAGGACACACCTAACTGTTGAGAGCCTTTGTGATGGTATGCAGTCTCGCGATTGAATTGACAATGCTGTTACTACTGCTTTCCTATGTAAAGGACGTGACGATCAGAGTATGTCGATGATCAAACACATCAAGTCAACCGACAACACGCTTGTTCAATATACACTCAAACACACATCATACCTTTCCAGTGGCACATAGAGCAGACAACGTTGCAGCGAGTGCAGCATTTTTATCCAGCTTGTTTGTCAGATCAGTAGCAATCCTGATCTTTTCAGTAGCCAATTGTTGGGCTTCATCCTTGAGACAGTCCAGTTCCATAGTGATCTTGTTCATTCTGTCTACTATATCCATTGGAGTATGTCCACTGCTATCACTGCTAGTATATGATTTGATCAAGTCGGCTTCGACACTTGATTTAGATCGTTCCAGGTCGGATATGCATGAATTCAATGACTGCCTCAAGTTCCGAATGGCTTCATCTACTCCTGGTTCACTCATGGCTACTTATATGAGCTGTATGCTACTACTTGATGCCGTCGAGAGTTGAATGTGAGAACGAGCGTGCGAGCGTGATGTCAATAGTCATATAGTTTCGTGTTATTCTTGTTACGCGTAATTTACTCGAATTTAATGACTTGATTATTTGCATACACGTCCAACTGCGTCGCTGCCACGACTCTTTCCCTGTTCACATCTCCAACGACACAGAATATAGGTCTGACATTCTTAGAGCGACACTAGCATCAAATACATCATTATATATCATATACTTACAGTAAAGGATGAGTGATCCAGCTGCCATATGGAAGAAGGCAAAGGTATGGTGCGAAACTTTGCTTTTGAACTCTGTTTATGCTGCTAACTCGACGCTCTTTATTATCAGGTCGCAGAAATCAAGGTACAACCTGCATTACATACTATACGCATTTTACTATAGAGCTACCTTCCTCTATGCTCTCTCTGATGCTGCAAGTCCTAACATTTGCACATTCATCCAACTCACAGGCCGAATTGACAAAACGTGGTCTCCCCGCTGACGGAAAGAAGGAGGACATACTACAACGACTACTCGCTGCATTGGACCAACCAAAGACTGTCATCTCATCGCCACCAACTGCAGTATCTGCAAAAGCATCTCCTGCACTCAAGCCAGCTACTCTTCCTACCACTGGAACGTCGCCAGGTATGTGGAACTGTGATGATTTTACATGGGCCTTTTCGGTGTAGTGTTTGTCTCTATCGTTCTCTTTTTTCGTCCCTTCTTGCCCATGCATCACTTATTACATCCTCACAGACAATCCAATATGACCTAGCACCGACAACTCCAGCAGCAACAGCCTCAACAGTCGTCAAACCAGCCATGGCACCCACTACTATAAAACCACCATCATCAGCCACAACCGCTGCTACTACGACACCGTCAACAACAGCACCTCCAGCTATAGTAATCAACAGCACATCACCAGAACCACCTGCAGTCAATCACAAAATAATCGAAATAGCTGCCCCCGTAGCCGAAACTGAAGAAGAAAGACAACGCAAACGAGCTGCCAGATTCCAAATGCATGCTCCAAATCCAAATATCGCAAGCGGGTCCATCCAAGCTGTAAGCAGCATGTCGGAAGCTGAAAAAATTGAAGCTAGAAAGAAACGATTTGTCAATGAAATGGCTGGGTCATCTCCTTCTTCTGCCGCATCGCCTGCTGCTGTCCCAAACAAGCCGATTATTGTAAAGACTGACAAGAATGGGCCTGCAATTGCTGTAAGTATTGTCGAGAGTGCAGACAGGAGTGTGTTAAACCATCGATTTGTATCACGAATCCTGGTTTGCCCTTGTTTTCAAAGAAAGAGAAATCCCCTGGTCACAACTTTGTTCTTCTCTCTTTCTTGTTAGTTGGATGCAGAAACGTTGAAAAGGCGTGCAGAAAAATTCGGATCATTGGTGACTCCCGATGCTGAAAAACAATTGAGAGATTTGGAAGAAGCAGAAAAGAAAAAGAGAAGGGCTGAAAGATTTGCCACAGACGAGCAGGTATGTTGTCGCATTAGTCCGCTCTTTTTGCTCTATTATTAGAATCGAATAGACCAACATCATCTTATTACATTCTCTTCGCATATTAGCTGGAAAGTGCTACCAAAAAGCTCAAATCCTAGGAATTGCTTCTACGTTTAGCTGATGGATGGGAAGGATTTTTGCTATCTTCCTCTCAATATGCACAAAGTATAGAAAGGTAGAAATATTCGCAACTAACTTCAAAACCAGAAAAGCAAATTTTTATTAGGAGACTCTTATTGTGTGCTGTGTAGTGATGTGATGTGTAAAGGCTCGGTGCAACCAACTTGTAAAAGAGACCGGAATGATTTATTTTTCCCTTTTTTGTACGTGAACAAAGAATGAAAAATGCATTGCCAAATTACACACTTTTTGTTTTTGGGAAAGTTTCTTGTTTTTATTCAGATAAATTTACAGCGGTGAGGTCGACCTTTGTTGAGAAGGTGTTCAAGAGAATGAAATTGAGAGGAATGTGGATTTGTTGTGAGATTTACAAGGGAGGAGACCAAAAACGAGGGTCGTACACATGTATTTTGGCTCTTCCAAACACTACAACAACGATTACACACCGTCCAACGAGTTCCATATAAAGCAATCTCAAAGCACGTCGTCCTTGTTTTCATTCTACCACATGAGTCATATCTCGTGTTTGATTTTTTTGCATCTTCCTGCGACCTCTGTTTCACGCCATCTCGTGTTCAAACAAACCCTCCTTGTAGACCTGTCAGAAATACTTTCGTGAGTTTGATGAATGAGTGCATAAAACATTTTGGTAAGTATTGTCGAATGAGCGTTCGTAGTAGGAAGTCTGATTCATAAACGTTTCTCTTCAGAGACTGGTCTTGCAAGACTTGTTGGTGCGAAGGCTTTTTATTTTCCTGATTTCTATGTGAACAAAGAATCACTAATGCATGCCAAAGTACTCTCTTTGTTTCCGTCTTTGCTTTTATTCTGATGCCCTTACAGCCTTCGGGTTGGTCATTGTCGAGATAATGTCTATAAGAAAAACAAAAAAAGGCATAAGTCACTGGTAACATGGTCAACGACGATGAGGGAAAATGTGGTTCTCATAATAAAGCTAGTTCCCAAACCAGCGAAATCACATACCATCAAACTTGTTTGAATGGCGTATAAACCAATCTCCCACACGTCGTCCCTGTTTGCTTTCAACAACATGGATCATATCCTAATAAGAAAAAGAGAGAAAAATTGTCAGTGACTTCCTGCATCAATGACAGTGGCAGAGAATTAGACCAAAAAGCAGACAAACACGATCTGATGTCTCGAAGCTGTCACCGACTAAACTTCATACCTGATTGATATACAAATCCAAATCAGAAGTAGGTCCATACTCTCCATCAAGCACACGGCCACTCTCCCACTTTCGTTGTCGAGTCTTGTGTTTAAAAGTCAGGATCTGGGTACGCAATTCTTCACTTGGTACATCCAAGAAGGTGGCTAGCTTGTCTACTCCCAGGGACGTATACAGCTTCAAGTAGGATCGAATGGTCGAAATGGATAATTGTTGGCGCACTTCGGATAGGAAGATGCGTGTTTGTAGTTGTGTTGGGAGCTGTTATTAAAAAAAGGTGAGATTTCAGGCCGTGACAGCGCTAAAAGGTCTCGCTTTTTGCTCATCGAGGTTGGAACGACAAAAATAATCGAGACACGATAAACGAGCAACTCTTCAACGCACCTGAGCACTGTTTGTAGGCACATCATAACTTGGAGCAACAGGTGAAACAAACTTAGGGCAAGCGAAATTGAAGAGTTCTTCAAATACTGCCATCGCTGATTCTTCATTTCGTTGCATTTTGGTGAGATCTTCACCGCGCTTTTCTCGCATGAGGGTATGAACCTAAGTGTCCAAAAAAGTATGTAAGCTGTAGATGGATTATCCTAGATGATTTCTTTTTTGCCTTTGAAGACAACAGACTTTGGAAACATACATTCTCATCCAATCTTTGAGGACATAATGCCACACACATGGCGAGCATAGCATACATCTGTTCACTCTTTTTGGTAATCTAAAGAGATAGTCGGGGCAAAAAACTTGAACAAGCTTGTCCTGGGTAATGACAAATGCAAATAACAACCCATCATCTCACAACATACCGCATCATACTGATACGACCTAGAGTGATACTGCTTAGTTCGGGAGATGAAGAGCAAGATATGAGCAAATGTCTTGATGGCATCCGAGTATCTCCTCATCATCATATACGCAAATCCGATGTAATAGTAGGTGGTGACATGGCATGCAGTAATACGAGCAAACAACCCCTTCTTGTTGAGCTCGATATTATCCATGGTCTTCAAAGCGAGGACATAATCGCCTAGTAGACAGTGGACTCGTAGTAATCCAACGATGGAAAAGTAGCCTAGCATTCTGTAAAGGGTTTTGGATCCGTATTCACCAGCGACGGCTCTACAAGACGGTATGACAAGGGTGAGAAAGGAGGAGACTCAAAGACTATCGCAGAAAAGGGGAAAAGAGCCCGGGAAGTGCCTTATTAGCAAGTACTTACGCAACATCACCACCATTCTTGGTCACATATAGTTGCTCATTGATTCTTGACTTTTGAATCAAAGAGTATAAAACATTTAATACATTGTACACACTCCAGACCTGATTTAGTGGATGTTCGAGTTAGTCAAAAAAAAGTTACCGCTTAGCCTCCCAATCAGTGTTCTTGCTTACATCAGTCCTCTCCTTTAATAATTCAATCTCCTGATCAGTCTTGCTCTTGACTTTACTTCGATAGTTGCAGAATGATTGGAATTGATAGATGAATTCATCGATTATATCCCACAACCATTGGTTGGGTAATTCGAGATCTGATGGTCCATCCGACAAGTCTATAATTGGGCGTGTCAATATGACTTTTTTTGGTTGAAGTTAAAAACATTGACCGTGCTTAGGATGTAGTTGAAGAGATCGCAATAGTTGACATAGGAGTTGATTCTGTCGTCCAGAGTTGGACTTAATCTCGCGTATACGTGTCTAAAGTACAATTCTCGGTAGAGTATCAAGAATGCAGTATCTAGTACAGAGAAAGTGGTGAGAGGTAAGCTTTCAGCATTCTACTGAAACCACGTTGCCTTTTGCATGTCTCTGTTCAACTCTCAATACCACCATCCGTTCTTAACACATACCGTCTTTTACGAATTCAGCGACGACTTGAGGATCAGGCCATCTCGATTTGTTTGAATAAAACATTTCGGTGAGTTTGTTGAATGAGTTTTCGTAGATGGAGTGTAGTTCATAGACGTTCCTTTCCGCGACCTTGTTTTGAAAGTAGACGAGGAAATTACGAATGACATCAGGTACGACTTCTTGGTGGTATTCCTGATTGGAGGATGCAGCTCCTCGGGAATCTGGTCGAGCTTGAGCAGCAGCTAAAATGTGATGTTTGGTTAGAGCGATGCCCAAGAGAAAAAAAGATCAAGAGAGACAGAGATATAGAGCTTCAAGGAGCCATGCATTCATCAGGATATTAGATTGTAAGAAAAACACTATTTACGAACTAAATGCATGTCTTTCATACCTTGAGGTTGATGTGATGAGACTTCACCTTCAGCTTCAGTGACGAATCTGTCAGCTCCAAACTGTAATGGAATCTCGACATCATCGGCTATATCATCTTCATATGTAGCCATCTTTGCTACTCTATATATTCAGTTTGCTTAGAGCGAACGGTCTGTTTTTATGTTTTTTTCTTCTTCGTGAACAGGATGCAGTTTACAATTGAGGCATTTCGAGCTAATACGAAGATTAGAGCCCTCCATTACGCGTCAAAAGGCAGTAATAATTCATTCTTGATAGCAACTATACGTGAAACACGTGTGATCTTGTGTGTTGTTTCATGGACATGAGTGTTTCTCAGTCAATTTCATTTTTACGGCAGGAGAACACGTTCCTTTCTGATTGGCATAATTGAATGAGCATAGTAAGTCCGTTGCAGAACTGCTGCACCTCGCAAACTTCACAGGAAACCTGCACCGCGTCATCGAGCTAAATCATTAAAACAAACAGCACCAACTCCATGGCAACAATGAACGAAGAGGAAGACGACCAAGACTTCTATGATGGACCGCCACAGGCTGGACAAGCTGGATTGACTCCTGATAGATCAAATGCTGTCTCGACTTGGTGAGTTCATCAAACCGCGTACTGTATTGCTCGACTTTGTGCTCTGTTGTTGTCATGTTTTGGAGAAAGATCGGCACCGCAAGCTATTCATTGCAGTATTATGATTCATATATTCCTATTGGCCCCTCTGAAATTGACCTGTGGCTAACGCCTCTTCTCTGAAAACGCTAATTGAGGCTTCTGCAAAATTACGAGATCCTCGACAACTCCACTCTACCACGACAACAGATATACGATCACTACACTGCCAGCTGCCAAGAAAGATCTCTACTCGCCGTGAACTCGGCTACCTTTGGCAAGGTCATACGGACAGTCTTCCCGACACTGAAAACAAGAAGGCTAGGAACTCGTGGAGCTAGCAGATACCACTACTGTGGAATAGTTATGAAGCAAACTCCTGGATTACATATATCCCATCCGCAACCTGCTGAGCCATACAACACCAACAATATCAACAATACCACCAACAGCAACAACACCACTACTCAACTACAACAGCCTCCTCTACCACAATACGCTGGAGAGTTCTCGAGTCTAGTAGAATCCGTCGTTATACCGGATCGTGTAGATGCTGACAGTTTACGAACGTTCCTCGATGACTACCGAGAGCACTGCTCTGCCATTCTTCAATACGCTCGCGCTGCCCAGTTTCCAGAAGTAGTATCAACTTCTTCTTGTTCGCTGCTTGTTATAACCATACCAAACCTCTTCTCCTAACACCTAGATTGACAAGTCCATGACCGAATTCTGGCAAGGACTACCAATCATGGGCAAAGAATTGACACTAGTCCCGGAGGTCATGGATTGCATCTACAAATATGACTCGTTTCTTTACGATGTGAGTTATCGTCGCCTGTTACGATTGAGAACGTCTGCAAGACTGGAAGATTAATGCTTTTGAATATGTCAGACCCTGATGAATGTGCTATTACCGACATCAACAGAACCCATGCCTGTCGAAACAATCCAGTCACTTCGCTTGTTTGCTAAGAATCTCGAGCCATGGATATCGAAAAGCTTGTTGGGATATCCAGAACCTCTCATCAAGAGACGAATTGAAGGTAAAAACGAGACTTCAATCAAGTCTATACACGTTTACACATTTGCTCACTCATGCAATAGTACACTCGAATAACATCTAGTATCTTTATCTATAGTTGCCAAGGTGTTCGTACAGCAGCTTCGTCGTCATACCACATTGAATCATCTCTCACAAGCTGTAGCGAGCCTACTCGAAAACCGAGAACACATGAACCAAATGCTCGCAGATTGGAATCGAGTGGATGTTGGAAGTATTGTTGATTCAGCTGCTTGGGTTTCTGACTGTAAACGTGCTGAGGTCTCAAGAATGCGTAGGTTTCATTTGGCATCGCCATAAGTTGGATTTTTTTTGTCAGAGATGGCGATGTGCCAACAAGGACGAAAGAGCATGCCGTCTCACGAAACCTCAAACATAGTTGAAGCGGATGTCAGAACGCTCCTTGAGAATGCCAGACGAGTTGAGGCGTGGTATGAATGGGTTGAATCCATACTGTCCAAGTTTGCCGATGTACGTAACTTCTCGACTATCAGTCTTCTCATTACAATGGGAATCAGCCAAGTTACCAACGTCTTTTTCTCGTTAGGGTGCTGCTTCAGAGCAATTCTTGGCCAGTTCACGCCAACTCATCATGAAGTGGAGTCTGTACAGCTCGCTTGTCATGAAGGATATGACTTTACGAGGCACATCCACATTTGAAAGCTTCAACACTTTCAAATTGCTGCTTGAGGAATATCTCTTTTATGTTGTCGAGAGGAGGTTTTCACAACTAGACTCGTGATTTCAAGAGTTGGCGTTTGCATATGCATTGACAATCAAGGTTGTCGTCTAACTTAAAATACACCACATCACTATTTGCAACATTTTGGTATGTCTGCTGTGAGGCTATCTAATTGAACTTGGAATGAAACGGGAGCAAATGCAATGTAGATTTGTTGCTTCAAACTCGTCGCGACGTGATGCTTCAAACATGTTAGAGAACATAACCGCAGCCAGTCGAAAGAATCAACACTTCCAGGTCACAGGTTGACAGATATTTATTGGATGATTTCGAAAGGAAATATTTACAACTAGACTCGTGAATTTCAAAAAGGCTGGTTCACATATTCAATGAAACCACAACTCGACGACAAAAGCGATCTGCAATGTTGAAAATAGATTTGAAGCACCCTGGTGTCTAATTTACTGAGCGAAAAGGGAGCCCTGGCAAAAAGGCAATGTTGCGTCGAAGACCCGATGACATCAACTAGTACAGCTAGTTTAGCTTACGAAAACTCCGGTAACGCACACCGGACAAGGGGGCAGAAAGCTTCGAGAGACATGTGGCGCCGGTTCCACTCGAACTGTGCGGTTTTTGTCAACTTTTTCTTTCTGGTGATTGCTGCACTCTCCAAAACAGTATGGATTTGAAACGCCGTTCCTGCGTGCCATAATTAAGGAAGGTAACATCGACGCGGGTGCAGCTGCTGCTGGACATTGAACCACAAAAAGTGGTGTGGAAGCGGTTTGTGGTGGGTGTCAGGACGTTCCTTCGTATTTCCGACGTGTCAAAAAAGCCAAACTCCGGCGGGGTTGAGCCCAGAGCTTGTTGTTTGGTCCAGTGAGGTGTAAACTTTACAGGTCGTGTATATTTTCTCCCTTCAATCTATCCAAAGTCACTAAGCATGGAACAGGAAGTTAGAGTGCTCCATAATCATTCTTTGTGTAGTTCACGCCAACTTAGCACAAGGTGCCGTTCTCTGTGGTGTAGCTCATTGGTCATGAAGGACTGTTACGAGATTTTTGCAACATTCAAATGTTCCAATAGTTTCAGATCACTGTTTGAAGACCATGTTGGAAGGAGATTTGGACAGCTGGACTTGTATTGTCATAAATTGGGTGTGTTGATCAGCAGCTGATGTGCCCAACACTTCACGACGTGATTGTTTCATGAAAGGAGCGAAATATAGTAATTTCATATACAAATCGTCCTTACAATCACGTAGCCAGGCTCCTCTTTGGTAGTAAAACTCACTTTTTGCAGCTCACTATTTCTAGTTCTGTTGACAACCCTGTAGAATCCATAAGCCCATTGGTTGACCGATAAGGAAGGCTAACGATGGGATCCAGATACGTTACCCAGAAGCCAGAGAATGCTCTGAAGAGAGCTGAAGGTAAGCTCGCCCCAGTTTAAATCGGCATTTCACCGTGAAAGCTTGAGAATTGCAAAAGCATCCCATCCATCCATCATGTTTTGGAATAGAAACACATAATGAATAATGTAGGATATCAATTCTAACATATATGTAATCATATCTAGAATTGATTGCTGTAGGCCAAAATGGATCTGCATTGCAACTGTTGCATGAAATTGTATTGTCGAGACGTTCCAGGTCGACTGCAATCGCATCATTGGAACCGATCATGCTCAAATTTATAGAGCTATGTGTGCAAATGCGGAAAGGAAAGACCGCTAAAGAGGGTTTGCATCAGTATAAGAATATTCAGCAGAATAACAATATCACCACTATTGAGGTAAGGTGGTGTTGTGATACTCTCTTCCCAAGGAGAGCTTAAAGAAGACAGATATTCATTCGGTATTATCTCTAGGTTGTCATCAAGAAATTCATTGACCTCTCTGAGCAGAAAGTCGCAGACGCTCAAGCCAAAGCAGATAAAATAGCTCTAGATTCTATTGATGACTTGGAAGCTACCGAAACTCCCGAATCAATTATATTGAGTACCGTGTCGGGTGAAGCTAGCAAAGATCGTACAGATAGAGAAGTAGTTACTCCTTGGTTAAAGTTCCTTTGGGAAGCTTACCGTACAGCTTTGGATATTCTCAGGAATAATGCTAGATTAGAGACACTCTACCAGGTATGCTCCGGCAATGCGTCTCAATCGTTTTGGTCTCAGCCAATCTAATTTTTGCAAACAATTAACAGATTGTGGCAACGCAAGCATTTGGCTTTTGTCTCAAATATACCCGTAAAACTGAATTCCGAAGATTATGTGACTTGCTCCGTCAGCACTTGGCAACAGCAGCCAAGTACGCTCATCAACCACACTCAATCAATTTGAGCGACCCCGACACCTTACAACGTCATCTCGATACACGATTCATACAATTATCAGCTGCCACCGATCTAGAATTATGGCAAGAAGGATTTAGATCTATCGAAGACATTTATAACTTGTTATCAATGTCTAAAAAAGCACCTAGATCATTCATGATGGCAAATTATTATGAAAAGCTGGCCAGAATCTTGCTTGTTGGTGAAAATTATCTCTTCCATGCTGCCGCTTGGAACCGATATTATGCTATCGCTAGACAAAACAGAAACTTGTCGGAAGATGAACATGATCGTATGGCTAGTATGGTATTGCTATCTGCTCTCTCTATTCCGATTATTCAAACTGGACGATCAAAGGGTGGGTCTGAAGAAGCTGAAAACAAGGAGAAGGCTCAACGATTAGCTAATTTGTTGAGAGCTCCTCGCCCTCCTACTCGTGAGATACTGTTACGTGACGCTGTAAGTTCTGGCGAACAGTTGTGTGTTTTTTTTCCCTCCTTTCTTCTGATATCCGTCTTACACTGTTAAAAAATCCTTCAGCTCGCCAAGACCGTGTTGGCTCGTGTAAAGCCTGAATTACGAGAACTGTATGATATTCTCGAAGTTCAATTCCACCCACTGTCGATTTGTAAAAAGATTGCTCCCATCATGCAGCAACTACAAGCAAATCCTGACTTTGCCAAATATGTCAGACCCATCCATCAAATCATCTTGACTCGATTGTTGCAACAGGTGAGTTGTTACTGATGGTCGACTGAAGCCATTGAAACATCACTCCCAGCGTAGGATTTTTTTGGGGTTTCCCGAAATAAAAGTCTCACTCTTTTTTCAACAAAATTTTAGTTATCACAAGTATATACCACCATCAAAATCGAATCGGTGCTGAAACTAGCAGCCTTCCCAGAACCATACAATCTCGACATCCACAAGATTGAAAAGTTTATCATGAATGGATGTAAAAAGGGTGAACTCTCTATACGTATTGACCATCGAAACAAGTCATTAACATTTGAGTCTGACTTGTTTATGACTTCGAAATCAACTGGAGTTGATGGTCCAAAACTCTCTACTCTATCAAGTACTCAAACTATGGGTATTCAGTTAGCTCAATTAGCTAAGCGATTACACACAGCTGTGCTTCTTGTGGATCCTAGTAAAGCTGATGCTGCAAAGAAGGCTAAGGCTGCTGCATTTGCTACAGCTATTGCTTCTGCTGAAGAAGAGCATCAAGAGACTTTCAAGAGGAGAGCACTGATCGAGAGGAAGAAGGAGTTGCGCGAGGCTGAGATTGCTCGCAAGGTAAATAGAATGTTCATGCATTTCGGGATTTTTTTGTGGCGTTTCATCGTCTGATGATTTTGTTTATCCTGCTTTCCTACCTTTCTCTTCATTCATATTTGTAGGTCGAAGAAGAGCAAAGATTGAAGAAGCTCAAGATCGAAAAGGAACAACAAGCTGAAAAGCAACGTCTAGAAGAAGAATCTCGTCGAAGAGAAATAGAACGTGTAGCTCAACAAAAGGCCACTCTTGAAAAAGAAGAAGCGCGTAAATTGGCAGAAAAGATGGCTGAAGATCTCACGAAACGTAAAATCAAGGTCGACAAGGAAGAACTGGAAGGTCTTGATGCCGACAAGCTCATGGCGTTACAAGTTAAACAACTGGAACAAGAACGTCGTGACTTGCAAGCCCGTCTCAAGATCCTAGCTAGAAGGAATGACTTTGTAGAACGTGCCTTCCGCAAAGAAGAAATTCCATTACTCCTCAAAGACTTCGAAGAGCAAAAAGAAGCTGAAAAGACCTTCCAGGATGCATTACGAGAAGCTACTATTGAAGCAGCTCGTAAGAAACATACTGAAGCCATGCAGGTCAAGGAACGTATGATGCGCATGTTACCAGATTATCGTGAATATAGATCTAAACTCGAAGTCAAACGTAATGAAGAGTATCATAAACTTGAGCAAGAAGCTGCCAAGCAGATTGCAGCTGCCAAGGAGAAGAGGAAGGCGGATTATATCAAACGTAAAGAAGAAGATCGCAGACGTGCTGAAGAAGAGGAACGTATTGCAGCAGAAGAAGCTGAAGCGAGGAGGAAGATGGAAGAAGAAGAAGAATTTTTGGAGAACAAACGTCAAGAAGAATTGGCTGTCAGGAAGGCCGAGGAAGCTGAGAGGATGAGGTATGTCTGGTCACATTGTGAAAGTTCGCTACCGCTTTGTTTTTGGAACATTCAAGCTCATTCTTTTTCTTTTCGCAGGAAATTGGATGAACAAGCAGCCAAACAACGTGAACGAGAGAAGGCAGCAGAAGATAAACTCGCCGGTAGAATAACTGCCACATCCACACCAGGCACCAAATATGTACCACCAGCTGCAGCAGCATCAACAGGAGCAGCAGCAAGTAAATGGATACCAGGTGTAGCACGCACCGCATCAGCTGCTCCTGCAACACCAACACCAGGAGCAGCATGGGCACCTAAAGCAGGCACAGGGGCTGCTCCATCTGCTGGTGGAGGTGGCTGGAGAGACAGAGTGGCAGCCAATGCAGGTCAAGCTATGGAACGATCCGCATCATCACCGACTGCATCACCAATAGAACCTACAGGTAGTACTCCATATAGTAGTAGCACGTATACACCACCAAGCGCACGCGCTGGACCACCAATGGATCGTGGTGGATCAACTGAAAGTGGATGGCGCGTACGAGCAGCTCAAAAAGAGGCTGGTGGTGAAGGTGGTGAACGACCAAGTCCATTTGGTGCTGCCAAACCAGCGGGAGTATGGACGCCTCCTAGTCGTAGTACGTCTGGTGGAGCGGCTCCTGAGCAGAAGCCTGCATCGACGCCGTCGAGTACTGCTTGGAGACCTAAGAGTGGTGGTGGTAATTGAGGTGGTGTGGTGTGAGATAATGTCTTGTTTTGTACTGTAATTTGTGTTTTAGCATCGTTGCTCAAGCAGAAAATATTAGATGAACAGTTCAGTAAAGTGGAATTCTTGTGTGTAAGGAACAAAACTAGAGTGTTTCTTGCTTCATCACGAGTTTAAGGACCAAATTCAGGTCATATGCAGGCTTATTCCTATATTACATTGGAGTTGGTAGGAATGGCAATGTCTAAGTGAGGTTTAAATGAGCCATGCCTTGGCCAATGATTAAAAAGGAGCTATCAATTGAATTGAATGACGATCAGTTAGACTTTGGCACAAGATGATGGCTGATTCCGGCCATCCCCTAGAAATCGAGATTGTACGTTTATAGCAGTAGGGATTTCCAGGCCGTTCTGCACTTTCAATAATGAGGATCGACGAGCCTGGTATTTCATCAATCTATATCAACTCGATCCGCCTCGAAAGACGTGTGTTTGTTGGCCTGAGTCGTCTGCAAACGCACAAAACCGTGAAATCAAGGACAGATGGTCGAATGTGTTAAGCAGGTCACTAAAACAGGCGTCTGTCAGTAATTTCAATTGTAACTAGTTCATCGTTAATTCAAAACGTATTCTCTAACTCTGCATCATATAGAAATGGAAGAAACTCTAGGCAAAGACGCAACTCAAGCTTGAAGGAAGAAAGTGCATGCTGCTGCCGTCCCCGCCCATACATCCTACTCTGATCCTCTTACGCCAATCGAGTTATCACCAATCTAGGCATTGCCGAATACTATTCAGCATTACAATCACGATCTGCTACCAAACCAGTCAATGCGAGGTCTTTGGAGCTTGCTGCAACTTCAGACTTGTAGAATATACATTTAAATAGCAGGATCTGATCTCTTTGAGCTTTGATGCTCGGCCTACAATGAATGCAAGGACACTTCCTGAAATCCGGAAGTTAAACTGCTCACTTGAGGCCTGAGGGAAGCTCAGAATTGTAGAATATCTCTTCGACTAGTAAGATCTGCCCTTTCTGAGCTTGGATGCTCAGCCTACGATGAATGCAAGGACACTTCCAGAAATCAGGAAGCCTTTTCGAACTGGTCACCACGAGGTGTTTGGAGCTTGAAGCCAGCTCAGAATTGTGGGAGATACCTTTAAATTGCAGGATTTGCTCTCCTTGAGCTCGGATACTCAGCCTACAAAGAATGCGAGAACATCCAGAAATCCGGAGGTCTTTTCAAACTGGTCGATACGAGGTTTATGGAGTTTGAAGTAAGTGCAAAATCGTGGAATAAATGACCAAGTAGCAGGGGCTGCTCCTTCTGAGCTTGAATGCTCAGCTTACAATCAATACAAAGACGCATCCAGAAATCTGGAACTCTTTCGAAACTGTTCAATTGGAAAAGCGTCAAATCCCAGCAAACACATGTGGATCCACAAATGCCAGCGCTTTTCGTCGGCTCTTCCTGCCCTCGTCTCTTCCTGTCTTCGTCACTCAAACATCTAACAGCAACAAAAATCTCCATCGTATCAATTGCAAGTACTAGCACGCATCAATACATCTCATCAACCTCAATCTGCTGGGGAATAGATTCTCCCTTCATGAACAATCGTTCTTATTCACGGACAGATCCGATAGTAACCGATTCAGCAACTACATATTTTAGAAGATGATCAATCCTAAACACGGGACGAAAAACAAATATTATAGACAGCAGATATTAGACGTTGTCCTGAACTGGGGTGAAGCAATTGTACCTCTGTCGTAGAGTCCTTTTTTGCCATCACCGTCCAAACCAAAAACTGCACTCCACAACCACATGACAATAAGCGACACACTCACCTCAGCGATAGGAATAGTCGCTCTCAGTTCCCACCCACACCTCACCGACATACTCGATTCTTTAGCAAAAGCTTCATCAATTTTCAATTTCTTCAGCAGCTCCATCCTCATCCACATCATCCTCTTCATGTTCAGCACTCTTTTCGTCTTGTTCTTCACAAATTCTCTGATATCAGAAAGTGTAAAATCATTGTATCGTCAGCTGGAGTTGCTGAGGTATAGTTGCCTTCTTCAGCCTCTTGGCAAAAGAAATAAGATGAGATTGTGATCTTAGCATATGTAGCCTTGAAACTTTCCGTTCTTAGCCATCGACTCTCGCCAATACCAAGCACTCATTTTCACACATACCTCAGCCTCAGTCTTATTTTCAAACCATCCAAACCATCAGCGTCGGTAACGTCACTAGCACACACAATTACAGCATCAACAACAGTAACAAAATCACGCCGTCCCCCGTTTGTCTCTTTGGCCTCATTTCCAAAGCAGCGAATCAACGTCAGCTTTTGGGCACTTTCGTCTTGTTTGATTGCGGAAAGTTATATCTATTCTTGATTTTCTGATGCAACACAAAAACAACCGAATCTCCTTCCGTACATTCACACTGTTTTAGCAACCATACTACACATCCGATCCCACCACTATTCTCCTCATCATATAATACCCCATCAACAAACCCTCCTAAGGTTGCGTAGCAGCTCTTTGAGCAGCTCTCTTTCCAGTTTGAGCAACAAAACCAGTCTTGATGGCAGATACAGATCGACTAGAACCACATGATTGACAGTTCAAAAAGAAGAGACGGTTGTCTTTACTTAGATTCGTGTCGGCTGACTTGCAATTCCTGCATGTTACGTATTCGACTATTAAAAAAGCGAGGGGAAATGGTGTTAGCGATTGGCGAGGACGAAAACAAACCCCTCCAGCATGGATTCGATAAGGTCGGTGACAACCGCAAACTCAGCCCCTTTTGTGCACTCTCTGTCGCCATCGGTGACATCCACCGCAACGACAAAGCAAAAACGACCCATCAAACGAAAGTACTGAAGCACGATCACGTACCAATATATCTCTTCAAGACAGTTTCAATCTGCTTTTGAACGAATTTGCCCTTAATGACCAATCGTTCTTGACCATCGACAGATCCAGTTGTACCCAATTCAGCAAATAGATATTGTACAAGGTGATCAGGAGTTCGACGCATCCTATAACGAAGCCAAAAAACTGTCAGCACAGGCAGAATATAAGATATGTTGTCATGCATTTTGACGATGATTAACAAGACGGCTGGTCACGTGATATATCTCCTCAATCAACAGAAATTCTTCACTACTTCTTCCTTTCATGGTTGGAAACGCCAAGACAACAAAACGTGGAGGTAGGAAAGATTTAAGAGGTAGTTCCTTAATAGTTACCTCCTAGCAATATCAGCGACGTTCGCAAACACAGTCTTTTTCGTTCCTTCTCTTGCAACTTGAGGTGGAGCAATAGTATATCGTTTCTTCTCACCAGCCAATTCAGGATTGTTTTGTCGGATGATTCGGAAGACTCGTGATAGTAACTAGTTGGGAGTAAGTGGACCGTTTAGAAATGAAGTTCAGAACAACCAATTATGGAACTTGTAGTGAAAACAGAGATGCCCATTCATGCAATTCAATTCCCTTTTTTTGCCACCACCACGAAACTCATCGCCCAAAAAAACACCACATACACCATCACAATGGGCGACACTCACCTCAGGATACGAATAATCCCTATCAGTACCCAACCAAGTCTCGCCCACATCCTTTAATATACTCGATTCTTCGGCAGGAGCTTCACCAATTTGGATTTCTTCAGCACCTCCATCTTCATCTACAGCAGCTGATGCTTCACCGGCAGCATGAGCGCCATCTTCTTCATGATCAGCACCTTCTTCCTGTTTTTCAAAGTCCTTGATATCAGGACGTTTCTTCTTCTTTTTCTTTCCAAAGTCAAAGTCGTCTGCTGGGACGGCGTCTGATGGAGCTGCTGCGGCGTCAGTGCCTTCTTCGGCCTGTAGTGGCGAGTGATATGGGTGAGGATGAGGTTGTGTTGGTTGCGACAACATTTGGACCTGCGGCTTTATATCTTTTTTTTTAACATGAACCCATCATATACGTACCTTGACTTTTTTCTTTTTCTTCTTCAAACCCGAAAAGTCATCAGCAGCCGCTGCAGCCTCACTCGCAACAGCTTCACCATCAGCAGCAGTAATTGCATCCGCTTTAGGCTTCTTTGACTTTTTCTTAAGTCCCGCGAACTCATCATCGACGGCGGTAGGTGTAGCATCTTCAGCAGCTGGAGTGTCGTCAGTAGCAGTGCTCTTCTTCTTCTTCTTTGGTTTTATATCAGCGGATGGAATGTCTTGAGACGTAGCTGATGCTGTAGGTTCATCAAAGTTTGGGGCCTTTTTCTTCTTTTTGATTGTTGGATCGGCAGATGTCTAGTAGATAAGATGTAAGATGTATTATATGTGGATTCGCTAGTGATGTTGATGATTTTTGACAAAACAAGCAAAAACAGGTAGGAGCGATTAATGGGATGTTGCATACCGCTAAAGCGTCTGCGTCTGGCATTTTGTAGAATAGGCTGTGATTGCTTATATAATAGCAGGTCTCTCTTCTTTCAGTGGCCTTGTTTGTTGACTTCTTGCTGAAAATTGTTGATGACTCGACAAGGCAAAATGCAGTTCAAACTGAGCTCAATTGGTGCAAGACACCCAGCAATAGGAAAAGTATAATATTCGCATTCAGTCACCAAACACTGACACGTCAAACCATTTTCAACAGCGTGCGGTGCGTGAGGAAGGATTGTGGAGTATCGCTAGTCGCTTGCATCGATGGTACAACTGATTGAATAGTTTGAAAATATAATAAAATACGCAAGTTGATTTGTACATCATTGCTACACGCAAAACACCGTCACCCACTGCATCTAGAGAAATAATCACAACTTTCCGTTCACTTACTACTCAAATACTTCGAGTTTGGGCAGTTCCGAGACATATTGCCTCATAGAAGCCCACCTTTTCCATCCGCTTCCGTTTACAATTTGTGCAGACTTGATAACCGTACCGTTGTAGGCATGACCTGGACAAACGAATACTAGGATATACGTCGGTGGGAGTGAGGGTTGGAATGCTTGTTGGATTATTGTATAGATGAGATCAAGACCAGAGGGATTGACGGAGTCAGTTGCTGACACTGTAATCAGAAGCAAGATAACCGAATTGCTTTGACTGATATATATAAAGCTGTCTATGGTTGGGAAGCTGGGGCTCATGGGTTTGCAATATATGCCAGTGGACGCAGAATTGGATTTTCCTGCTAATTGACCTTTTAAATCCTCGGCGTCTTTGAACTCGACAGACTGTAGCCCACATGGAATGAAGGTTCCTTCAGCAGGGTACTTTATGTCACGACATGGAATGTTGAGCGGCTTGTCTTCGTTCATGAAAACGATGTGTGCAGCGAGCTAGTTTAGAAATTGAATGACCAACTCTTGCAAGAATGCTGGCGACTACCAAGTTCTCTTACATCAAAGAAACCACCTTTGACATGACCCACTACATCACTTGTTGACATCATCTGTAGAAATGTACCCTGTACCGTCTTCTTATCTTTAAGAACCTTGCTCCAAATGAGACGTGCTATGTATTTGGTCTGTATATCCACAGTGTAAAGGTGTCGTTGTATCGCGGCGTCAACAACCTTCGGGCTCAGTACTATAAGGCTACTGGGTATATAGGCGATACTGTCGGGTTGGGGA